TATATATATATATAATTAGCTTTTAAAGCGTTTCCTATGGTCAATTTTGGGTATGGTAGTTTTGTGCGATTTCGCGGGTGCGCACAATTTTAAGACTTGACATGTTTGGTGTCTATTTACCCAACGTGACCCCATCTTTTTTTAATATTTTACCTAAAAATTGGGTAAAATTAAATGTATTCTAACATAGATGTTAAAAACAAAACTTTTTTTCTTCTAAATTTTCGATATTTCCTTCATATAGTAAAAAATAAAACCCCCCCCGTGGTGAATAAATAGCACCAAAAGAAAGCTCTATCTGTCCCCAAAAAATGGTATAAAATTCAGTTCAGTACAGCGTTGCATGACGGAATAAATGTCTAAGTACCGCAGTGCTGAATACTGAAAAATGGCCCGGGCAGGAAGGGGGTATAAACACCACGGTCAGCAAGTGGTTAAAGGACAGTGATTGATTCACTACCAGTAAATGTATGCCGGAAGTCACCTTCACTGCTTCATCAATATGCCCCTTGTTTGTGGAGGTTTCCGTTTCCTTCTTCACAGTGGAAAATGCTGCATACTTTGGTGGTGACATGTCAATGAATAAGATAAATAAAACACCACCTTTTCTCTTTTTTTCAGGCACCTGCATACCATTTAATACTGGAAGGGATTCTGATCCTGTGGATTATACGACTTATATTTTCTAAGACTTACAAATTGCAGGAAAGGTCTGACCTCACAGAAAAGGTAATGGAGGTGGCCTAGCGTTCAATCCTTTTTTTCTTTGTCTTTCTCCGTTCTGTACCCACTTTTTTGTCATTTAAATTGTATTTTTGTTTTCCAGGAGAAGGAAGAATTGATTGAAGAGTGGCACCCAGAACCTCTTGTGCCTCCTGTTTCTAAAGATCACCCAGCTCTCAATTATAATATTGTTACTGGGTAGGTAGCTGCTGCTTTTAGTTATGTCTTTTAAACAGTAGGCTTTCCCAAAAAACAAGCTGATTGACAGACATATGATAGCCTTGGTGTCCTTTATACAATCATGTATTTTATAGGGTATGAATGAGTATATCAGAAGTCTACAAACAAGCCCTCATTTAAAAAAAACTGCTTTATATTTCTCTACTGATTTTCCTGCTGGGATTACATCATCTGGTTTCTTAGCTGTCCCCTCTCTGCCAATATCTTTGCCCTTTTGACCATGCAGCCACACATTCAAATCGGGTCCAGCTTCTCCAGCCACAATAGCATACTATTTAATCCTATAGAGAGTTTGTACTCTCTTCTCATAGGCACATCAATAGTAATGCTGCTCAGAATGCAAATACAGTATACACATCTAACACCTTTTTTTAATTGGGCTTTCCCCCTAAACATTGTTACAAAATGTAAGCTATTTTTGCTTTTGTTTTGTTTTTTGTAATCTAGTTTTTGAGGTAGTAAATTACCTTTTGTGGCTTCAGAAATACCTTTCGATGTTTAGTGACTCGTAATGTATCTTTCAGACCTCCAAGTCACACGATCATTGTGAATGGAAAAGAGTGCATCAATTTTGCATCCTTTAATTTTCTTGGTCTCCTAGATGATGAGAGAGTTAAGGTAAGTAACACTGTTTGTGAATCTCTTGGCTAATAAAATTATCTTCTTATACCTGCCTTGGTGTCCACATATACAACATACTGTACATGGTTTGATCAATCTGGATGACTCAAGCTATTACAAGTATACACCGATTAGCCATAACATTATGACCACTGAGAGGTGAAGTGAATAACAGTGATTTTCTCATTTCAGTGGTATCTGAAATTGTGTGGGATATTTTAGGCAGCAAGTGAACATTTTTGTCTTTGAAGTTGATGTGTTGGAAGCAGAAAAACGGGCAAAGTGTAAGGATTTGAGCAACTTTAAAAGGGCCGTAATGTGATGGCTAGGCAACTGGGTCAAAGCAACTCCAAACTGCAGCTCTTGTGGGATGTTCCCGGTCTGCAGTGGTCACGACATACCAAAAGTCTTCCAAGAAAGGAAAACCGGCGACCGGGTCATGGGCATTCAAGGCTCATTGATGCACCTGGGGAGTGAAGGCTGGCCCATGTAATCTGATCCAGTAGAAGACCTACTCCTAGTTTAGAATGCTAAAAAAGTTAAATCTGGTTCTGATAGAAAGATGTGTGAACATACAGTGCATCGCAGTTTGTTGCGAATGGGGCTGCATAGCAACAGACCAGTCAGTGTGCCCATGATGACCCGTGTCCACCGCCTAAAGCACCTACAATGGGCACATGAGCATAAGTACTGGACCATGAAGCAACGGAAGAAGGTGGCCTGGTCTAATGAATCACAATTTCTTTTACATCATTTAAATGGCCAGGTGCATGTGTGTTGCTTACCTGGGGAAGAGATGGCCATCAGGATGCACTATGGGAAGAAGGCAAGCCGGCAGAGGCAATGTGATACTTTGGGCACTGTTCTGATTGGAAACCTTGGGTCCTGCCATTCATGTATGTTACTTTGACACGTACCACCTACCTAAACATTGTTGCTGACCAAGTACATCTCTTCATGAAAAATGGAATTCCCTTCACACTGCAAAAAATGGTTCAAGAATGGTTTGAGGAACATGAGTTTAAGGTGTTGACTTGGCCTCCAAATTCTCCAGGTCTCAATCCAATCGAGCATCTGTCGGATGTGCTGAAAAAACAAGTTCGATCCAAGGAGGCCCCACCTGACAACTTACAGGAGTTAAATCTGCTACTGACCGCTTGGTGCCAGATACCAGAGCATCCTTTAGAGGCCCAGTGGAGCCCATGCCTCAATGGGTCAGGGCTGTTTTGGTGGGGATCTACTAAATATTAGCCAGCTGGTCATAATGTTATGGCTGGTGTATACATACCTTGTGACAGGGCTGGACAAATGCCAGGAGCAAATGCACCTGTTAAAATATACTCTTAGCAACTAACTTTTGAGGTTTTCTCTAGTTGTTGTCAATGGATCTGACTCCTGAAAAAAATCCTGTCTCCTGAATTCCAAATGATTTGTCCACTGCTACCTAATGGACCAAACTGTTAAAGTTTCACTGTGATAAGCAGGGATATAAAGTTTACATTGATACATTTTTATTTTCTTTACCCTAAAGGATTTATTTACAGCCTAGGGGTGACCAACATCCAAGGCAGTTTTTGGACTATTACAATAATTGATAAAACTGCCTACTTGTATGTTGAGATTTTAAAATGGTTTATAGAAAAATTGGAAAAAGGACTTTAGCAGAAATACATTTTTAGGGCAGTGAATCCAATGTTATGTAGTTGAGTAAACTTTTAGTTGCAGCTTTTTCCTTTTGTATTTTCCATTCCAAACTGAGTCAAGATTTTTTTTTTAAACAAAAGCTGTTTGCATTTACAAAACTATTTCCTGTTTGATGTACAAGTCAGTCACATAATAATGTTTATTTATTATGGTAAGGATAATCCTTGACTTCCATTTCCATCCAAGTGTTTATTTGAGTGCCTGTTTGTGTTCATACTTTTACCCTTTATCCATGTGCAGCATAATACAATTCGGTTGTATCCCTGTAATGTTCTAGGTGTGTGTGTTTCTAATGTGTTCCATTGTAACTTTACATTTATCCTTTTGCAGTATTAAATGGCCTGGTTTTCACCTTATTTTGAAATAAGATGACCATTTTTTTGTTTTTTCATCTTTTTAGGCTGCAGCATTGGCATCACTTAGGAAATATGGTGTTGGGACATGTGGGCCAAGAGGGTTTTATGGTACAGTTGGGAGGTATGCGCATGTATTTTAGACAATGTGGACAATTGGTTATACATCTCAAAAACAGAATTGGTTAGAAAGAAATCATATCATGAGTAAGGACAATGGTATGTACATAAGGGGTTAAAAGGATGGAAATATGCAAATCGGACAGAGCTAATATGGGAACCATAGATGTCAATAAAAATTACGAAGGCGGTGATGGAGGCATCAGAGGGGGTGAAGTCCTATGCTCTAACCATCTATCGCAAATCTTAGAATATTTACCAAGAGTGCCCCTATGTTGAAATGCAAGTTTTTCAAAGGCTATTAGTCAATCAAGTTCTGCAACCCAATCTTCTACAGAGGAGTAGAGGAGTTCCACTTCAGTATTAATATCCGACGTGCAGCAAACCTAGCCTTCGATAAAGCAACCATGGCACAGGAGTCCCAGTCGGAGGGCTCTAAAACACCAATTGTACAAGCCATCGGGGTATTGGGAATAGTAAAGGCAAATCAATGAAGAAAATTCTGTTTGAATGGAATTGTGCGTATTCACCATTTTGTAGCACATGAGATACTCTGCTGCTGTGGGTACTGGGGTGTGAAAAAAAACAATGCCTGTTGGTTTCTTAAAGGAAAATGTATCGGATGAGTGAAATACACATCCCCATAATTAGAGCTGACGTGCGACACTGCAGCTGTCGCACCTCGGCTCTATAGACCAAGAACTGAGCGATCGCATACCGTCTGCCTCTCCTCTCTTCCTCCAGCACTGACTGGAGGGATGGAAGGGGGTGGGCACAGCTGGCTCTAGCTCTAGAGAGGCAGAGCCAGCTGTCAATCAGGTGGCGGGGTGGTAGTAAATGTCCTCCTATGACCCTAGAGAACTACGGCCAAAAAAGGTTGGGTCATAGTTCTCTCAAGTAAGGAATCATTTTAGCAATGTAAGTTGTAGAGTTTTACAAAGGGATTGTTTGTAATTTTGTGTTGCCAGTGTTTTGAGGAAGCAGAATTGGCTTTTTTTTTAGTTCTAGCGCATCATACCTTGCTGCAGATTGTATTGTAAACTAAAATGAATATTACTTTGCAAATTCATATAGCAGTTCTACAGTATGTTGTCTTTTAATGGAAGTGAGGTTTTTCTTTGAAGTGACACTAATCTCAGGAGTTCAATCTTAAAAATGCATTCAAGTACCCGAATTATTAACAAAAATTTACTTGTGTATTACTTTGCTGTAGATCCTCAAATCATCTCTGAATTGGTGCTGACACTGTCCTTCCTTCTGGAGGGTGGCTACTTTTGTTCCTCATGGTCCCTGTGTGTGTTGTAAAGTAGCCACCACTCCAAGCTCACTCCTGGGATAGACTACAATGTTGGTACAAATTGGTAAACTAAACGTGAGATTGTAGTCTATATCGGGAGTGAGCTTGGAGTGGTGGCCACTTTACAACACGCAGGGACCATGGGGAACAAAAGTAGCCACCCTCCAGAAGGAAGGACAGTGTCAGCACCAATTCAGAGATGATTTGAGGATCTACAGCCCAGTGATACTGAGTGAGATTGTTGTCCATCATGGGCTACATTTTTGTTAATATTTAAGGTTCTTGTTTGCATTTTTAAGATTTAATTTCTGAGGTTAGTGTCATTTTAAGATCTATTGTGATCTGGGGTCCCTCACATTTAAACATACATCCTCTAATACCGTGTTTAACACTGCAATGGTATTAGCTTGATACACAAATAAAATACAGTTTCGTTATTTTAAGGTAGTTAAATGCATTTTTTTTTTGCCTTCTGAGTTTTTAGTCTCACTTTTAAGTAGCGATATTCTGTACATTTAATAGCTGTTTACTTAGATGTTCAAGTTTTATTTAATAGGGCTATGTACAGCTCAGTAAGCCGAACCAACCGATCGACTTTCATTTAATGGGGGAAATGGTTCTGTTGCAATTTGCGTATTGCTCATGAATACATTAGTTCTCTGGGAATTCAGTGGCGTTGTTTTGTGATTGTGTGTAATGCTATATATGTCCATAAGAGGGCAGCTTAGAACTATTTTTGTATGCTGCAATGAGCCACGTGTTGTGGATCTTTGTGTTGCCTCTTACAAAAATCACTTTTCGCCAACATCTAGGTAGAAACTTTACACCGCATTGTGTCTGTCCAGTCAAATACTACTTGACCTTGCAAAGTGTTAGGTAACCGAATGTTCGCACGTAGGACTAAATCATCTGCTCAAAAGCTAGAAGCTTTTGTTGCTTGGCCAATTATGAAGTTTAGGTTTAATTGTTCTAATCTACCATACATGGGTTGCATATATGTGATCTACAATACATTTTTGGTAATTGGTAACAATGTGCAAATAAATTCCTGGGCTTGCAGATGCTATTTATCAGCGAGTTTAGTTATTGTATGGCCGCCTCTGTCACCTACACAATCTGGAAGTTTGCTGGGTTCGCTGAACCTATAGACATTTTAGATCAACGTTTAATAGTTAGTGTATCGCAAAATATTACAGACCCATTCATGTTTATGTAATGCACTATTATAGTAAGAAAGATGAGAAAGTTAATGTCCTTTTTTTTGTGTGCGTTAAGTTGGTTTGTCAGCCTATTCAAAATGATTGGGCTACCCTAACACATCCATAATGCGAATGGGCCCTGAAGGTCTGCCATTCTAGCCCATATGTTGACATTGATATGTGGTGTCCATATGCAGTCAGGCTGTTAAGTCTTAGTCCTGCTGTGCAGTGTCCACATTCTCTTTCCCTTTAACCTTTTCCATTTGTCAAAGACAAAAAGTGGACTTGCCCTGTCTTGCAGCACCCATCTGCCAGGGCTGTTCTGGTATGCTACCGAGCGATATGTTAAAGCAATTGTGCAAAGCATACGGTCTTGCAAGCTTCAGTCACAGTGCATATTCTAGGTTTTGGGGACCTACAGCGTGTGCTGAAGTTTAATGGGCAAATTGAATATTTAGGTGCCTCCTATTTATAAAATATAGTTATGTTTATTGTACATCTTGTAGTGTATGTGTGTGTGTGTATGTATATGTATATATATATATATATATTTGTTTGTCGACTGTCTATAAATCTGTATTTTTGTAATACCACCTATACAAAAATGTAATTAACTGAACACTACTTGATTTTTCTCCACAGTTAAGCTACTGTGACACATCTGTCTTTTCCTCTTCCAATCTGCATATTAAACTATAGTTTCATAACCTTATCCTGTTATCAGTTGGAACTGATACAGCTGTCTGCACACAAATGCAGGCAAGCTGGATTTTTCCAGCCTTATATTTAACTATTGATGCATTTTTATTACAGTGCCAGAAAAGGCTTCCAAGCCATTTGGTAATGTGATGTGACAAAAGAGTCAGACTGCTTTTATGCTCAATATACTATGGTAATGAAAGTCACCCTTACAGAGTGTGTTCACCTTAAGTGACTGAATTCCAATAATCTGTTAAGCAGAGAGAAATAAATGTTTTAAAAAAAGAGAAAATTTTGTTTTTTTTTTTTTTTTTTTTTTTTAAGGGTCCATTTTCACCTCTTTGTGCATAAAAAAATGGTTCAAATAGATTATTGCCCCCTGTGAAAAGTGGAACCAGAGTGGTGCAAGCAACAGTTTGAAGTGCCTAATTCTGCAGTTTGAATGCTCCATTTTTTCCATGTACATTGTGAGCAGGGAAAATTTTAAAGTTGTGAATGGGGGCCTTGTCTAGGTTTTCCACTTTACTCAGTATAAGCAGTAAACATTTTGATGGAATATATACTGTAATTGCATTCAATACAGAAGAATCTGAGCGTTTAAAAATATTACAGCCCCATTGTCATCTGTGCTATTCAGATCCTAGTCATTTAAAAAAAAACAAAAAACATTCCCTTATGTGCAAAGAGAAGTGAATTGCATGCTAACTGTCCTCCTGAAAGTCGCTTTCAAACCGTGCTTGAGAAGAAAATGATGCTGTGCATTGTTATAGCTATCCGAGTGCATATGGTTAGACTTAACATTTGTAAACGAAGATGGACTGCTGTTTAAAGTATGGTTACAATTACATACTATATATGTCTACTTGTACATTATCAAATACAGATTTACAATGCAGCAAACACAACAAGTCATGCTCTTTGTAAAGTTTGAATTTATGAGTTGTATTAAAACAAAAAAAACCCTGCTCTGATGCTTGGTTGCTTAACCCAAATGCAACGTTGAGATTTGTTTAATGACTATTAGGTTTTGTTGTATGCTCAAGAACATGTAGCAATCAGAGTCGTGATTGTGTTAAAGTGGGTGTTCAGCACACCATCAATGCAGATGTAGGCTGAACACTCTTGTGGCTCTCTGACTTGTCTTTAATTTGCTGTAGCCAATTTACAGGGTTCATCACATGTTTTGAGGGTAGGTCGATTTCCTGATGCCTGAGCCTCCTATTTCCTTGTTCCTGCATTATAAGGCAGGTTTAAATCCAGTGTTTTAACAGAAGGCCATAGTTCTACCTTTTTCATTGTTCATATTAACTCACATTAACCCAACATTTTTTTTTTTTACTGTAGATGTCCATTTGGAGTTAGAAGAAAGACTTGCCAAATTTATGAGAACAGAAGAAGCAATCATTTATTCATATGGATTTGCGACCATTGCAAGCGCTATTCCTGCATACTCGAAAAGGGGGGACATAGTATTTGTGTAAGTGATACCTAATCTGTCAACTTAAATGAAAGCCCCATACACTCTGACTGTTTGTGAGGAGAAAGCTATTTTTAACCATTTTTTCCTTTTTAAGTCTCAGAGTGTAGATTATGGTAAAGCCTGTAAATATAGATAGGCAAGCTCAATAAAATTCCCGACTGTCGTATTTTTTTTTGCTAGGCTGCGATTTGCCCTTTGTGTTTTAATCAGGTTATAACTGAGTGAGATTCTTATGAATATTGTTGCTTTAAATAATGATCTGCATTCGTTAGGAACACTAGGAAAGGGTAGCATTATCCTTTTAAGAAATAAAACAGAAATTTGAGTCTGCCTTGTTGGGCATCATTGCCCAACGCAGTCTGAATACCTACATAAAGACCTTATATCCTATTGTTTCATGCAACACGTTGCATTGGTGTGCACTGGAAAAAAAGAAAAAGTAGGTCAGCTTGCATTTTTGTGTTGCATAAAGTTGAATAAATTGTCATTTTGATACATTTCAAAAAAGTGTGGGGGGAAAAAGGCTAAACCATGTGATGCGTTGTAACTAGGGATGCACCGATACCGATTTTTCGGTATAGAGTACGAGTACCGATATTTATATTTCGGTACTCGACGATACTGAGTACCCATACCGGTAGTATAGAGTCGGATACCCGGGCAATCAAGAAGCCAGGCGGTGTGTCATTACCCACTGCACGGCTTCCTGATTGCCCGTGAAGCCGACTCCATCTCTGTTTGGCCGGCTCAATGCTGATTGGCCGGGAAGCCAAACAGATCTGACAATATGGTGACACGACCCCCACCCTGCACGACCCTCACCCTGCAGACACCTCATTCCCTTCTCCTAGATCAGTGATGGCGAACCTTGGCACTCCAGCTGTTTTGGAACTACAAGTCCCATGAGGCATTGCAAGGCTCTGACAGCCACAGACATAACTCCCAGAGGCAGATGCATCTTGGGATTTGTAGTTTTGGCACAGCTGGAGTGCCAAGGTTCGCCACCACTGTCCTAGATCCTTAGCAGCGGTCATTACCGTACCAGTCCCTCGGCCAGCTGGGCAGACACCGCTCTCCAAACTCTCCCGGATCTGCCCACGTCTCCTGTGTGCACAGCGCCCGCGTAATCAGCCCTCAGCCTGCTACTGCGCATGTGCAGACAGCAGAGCGCTTTCATTCAGAAATCCTGTGCATGCGCAGTAGCAGGCTGAGGGCTGATCACGCAGGCGCTGTGCACACGGGATACGTGGACAGATCCCGGAGAGCGGTGTCTACCCAGCTGGCCGAGGGACGGGTACCCTAATGACTGCTGCTGAGGATCTATGTGAGGGGAAATGAGGTGCCTGCAGGGTGGGAGTCGTGTCGTCATATCATATTAGTTTGGCCGGCTTTACACTGATTGGCTTCTCGGCCAATCAGCATCAAGCCTCCTAAACAGCATGGAGCCAACTTCCCGGCTTTGCAATTTCTTGTTAAAGTAAACTGGTATCAAAGATTTATAATGCAAACTAAGCTGCCTGCTCGTACCTTAAGGGCCTGTTCACACCATGTCTGTTGAGCTGTGTTTTTCTGCACACCAACTCTCATATGATTTGAAAAATGTGAGCAGTATGTGGTGTGAATAGATCGCACCATACATGTGCATGGTGTGCCGAAAAATGCAGCTCACCATGCATGAGCTGCGTTTTTCTGCTCGCAACGGACACCGTGTGAAAGAGCCCTAACAGTGCCACTATGATTTAGCTGCTGGAGTTCCTCAAAAACCTATGCAATATGCCAATATCAAATTTGAAAGTCAGTATTTTGACTGGACACACAACTCTATGTAACTGCACTCAGGTCACTCATGCATAAAGTTATACATTGTGGTAGGCCAGGGGGCTGTGTGTGACTTGCCTATACCTGGAAGCTGGCAGTGCTATCAGTATATAATTACAGTGGTATAGCATTGGTCTTCGTTTACATTATACACCTGCTAGTCTACATTGTACAGCATGATCTTACGGAGCTGCGATTGGCTGAGCAGCGAAGTAAAGCGCATTCGAGGGACTGGTCACATGAAGAGAAGGAAGCCTGCAGGAGCAAGGAATAAAGTAAGTATATCACCCAATTCATCCTCCCCTAGGCAAAATGAGCAGTTACCTCTTGCACTGGGCCTACTGCAACTACTTCTTTTTTTTTTGTTCCCCCTCATAGTTCAGCTTTAGGTTTATATTGCCATTTAAAATGGGCAAATACAGCCTTGCAGTCTATTATTATCCACTGTGTGACTAGTTAATACTAGTGTCACATTTCTGTAGCCAAGGAAAATAGTAGTATATGTAGCTGAGTGAATAGGAAACTTTCTTCTTTTCTTTTTTTCCCTTTTGTAATAAACATGGTTAAATTACACCTTTTCACTTTGTAATCTGACAAACAGTGCTAACCTGTAGTTTTACTTTGAAACACAATACACTTTCTCCTTTTATATTAAATCATTCACAGGGATCACCATTCCTCTCACAACAGTTAATGCATCTTAAAGGATCATTGATAAGTTTCTGCATTCCTCATTAGTGCTTTTTCAGGCAATTCAAGTGAAGTCATTTTTATTTTTGCCATGCGCTTAGTAGGAAATGACTGATTGAAAATACAGCTTTCCGTTACTACTTCTAATTTACATTTTGGCAAGAGGCTAGAGCGATGTTCGCAGTTTGGAAGCTCTGCTCTGTGTGAGACTTCTGAGGAGTCTGACTCCGGGAATACATTTCGTGTGTGTGTCTGTCTAGAAAATATATTTTTATGTATGTATTGTGATGCAGACTGAAAGGCACAAACACACTCATAAAGTAGAACTAAAGTTCCCAGCATGTTCCCTAGGTGGACTTGCCATAACTTGTGTTTTCAGAAGAGGCTTCCATTGCCAAGCATCATACATGGCTGCAGTTTCCTTGCAAGAGGTCTGTCTCTTATTGTTCGTTCTCTGTGATCTTGCAGTATAGCATATCTTTTTATTAGTCAAGTACAGCTGTGTTGCTCTGGGGCAACGTTATTATTTTTATTTATATATGACTGAAACCATGTGTGCAGATCTGTGCAATCTAAACCCCCGAAACATACTTTAATATACATGGATACTGATCCTGTGTGGGGAGAGAAGTGAAGCAATGGGAGCAGGGGGCTGCCAAAAAAACTTAAACCATACAGTTTTTTAATGTACACATTTTTACAAGGAGGACTGTGATTCTGCAGCTTCTCGATCTGTACATTTAAAAATCCAATCCAGTAGGGATTACTGTATCATATGCAAATAGAACTTTTATTTCTGTATCCATATATCATCTGTTTTATTTATGTTTGAACACATACAGTGTTAGCCCCTTTTTTTATAGCTTCTTTCTTGTCTGGAAGTCCTGGTGTGGCATTGGAAGAAGAGACATTACTAATAAGTGTAATCTCAACTCATCTTTGAAACTGTATTAAAGTGAACATGTACTTTGACCATGCAGGGCAAAGAAACTGATTTGCTTTAAAGAATAAGTGCACTTTAGGAGCCGGTTCACACCATCTCCAATGCGTTCCAGCACGGTTAGTTGCTGGAACGCACTGGATCACATACTGTGAAGGCTTCCTGTGGGAGGGGGCGTGGTGTTCAGTCAATGGCACCGCAGCCCTGCTATATATTTTTTTTTTTCCCCCAATCACACTGGACCGGTACGCGGGCAATCGCACTGCGGACGGGGGGAGGGTGTGGCTACAGTGCCATTGGTTTGAATGCACCGCCATGCCTCCTCCTGCCCCAGAATGCAGGGAGCCCTCACAGTATGCAATCAAGTGTGTTACCGCAGCTAACCGTGCTGCACCGCATTTTTCTGCCTTTCCTGGTCGCATCCATCTGCTGGCTGGGAGATGGCCCCATAGAAGTCTATGGGTCTGTAATGTGCAGGTGTGGCCAGCAGAGGGAGCATTGCAGTATTGCTTGTAAACAATAGAGGAACTTTGCATGTTGCTCCAATTGACCATGCACTGCCCCAATGCACTAATGGGGAGCATGTGGGAGACAGTTCCCTGTATGATCTGACTGACACTGTTTTTAGCTCGCTCCCCATGAGTGGAATGAAAGGAAAGTATTTACGGATGGGAGGGGTGCACTTTTTGCTTTCTTACATGGGCAAAGCACACAATCTGTTTCTTTAAATATGTAAACAAGGCTTTACCTAGAAGTAAGATTAGATGTACTTACCTCTCCTGCTACCTGCACTGCTGAACGCTGCTCCTATTAATGAGAAATCTCATCTGACGTTTATGCTGAATCTGCAGCTTCTAGTGATATGGGGGGGTAGGAGGAACCACTGAGCACAGCAGGGGACACAGGAGATCAAGTGTCGGTTTCTGCACCGACTTTAGCAGAGGATTTTTAATTAACAGACATGAGGAGTTAAGCGTTTATACTCTTGTTTCCAGCTTTTGTTCACACTTTTTTTTATTTAGGCAAAAATGTTGCTTTAAGAGAACATAAAGTGCAACTCCAGTGAACACTTTTTTGTGAATGATTAAAACCGTGTGTGTGTTTTTTGTGTTTTTACTCATTTCTGGTTCTGTTCACAGTGCTTACAATAAATGGTGATTCATACAGCTAGTATCATGAAATAAATACATGGGCAGTTGCATGTAAAATTCAATGTGAAGAATGGTCTCAGACATTCTGTGTTCCCTTATAGTAACCTATCAATTTAGAACTTTAAGCTCACTGCACATGTTCCAATCTGATTGTACAATCTCCTTTTAGTTCTAACAACAACTATGTAGTGAAAAGGCCTGCGTTATTGGATTCAATTTGACTGGATAGTTTAGCTAGGCCTTGTATTACATAGTTTTGGAAATCTAAAGCTGATTGTACAAAGATTGTATGGTCAGACTGTAGTGGTTTGATCCTGCTTGCTATGGGGCAACACAGACAGGGAAGGTGTTTTCTTCTCGCACACTTTGAAGGTGCATCCCTAATATTACGCAATACCGATCCCAGTATCGGTATTGATACTTGGCATTTTCACGAGTACTCGTACTCTTGAAAATGCCCCGATACCAAAAAGCAAAACCTGTTTTAGGTATAAGGCTGCCGATTATCTTTACATTTTCAAATTGAAGCAGCTGCCTTATGTCTCGCACTTGCTGGGGAGCTCTCGGCAGGCTTCTTGGGAACCATGCGACGCCTGTTTTACAGTGCTTCTGCTAGCCCACGCATAGCCCCCTCCTCCTGAGACATTAGGCCTGCACCCCGGAACAGAGCGGCAGCATAGAAGATATAACAAATTTATATACTATTATTCTGCATTGCTATATAATGTATTGCTGGGATTTGTAGTCCTCTATAGCTGATACCATTTTTGCATTGCTATATAATGTATTGTTGAGATTTGTACTCCTCTTGAGAAAAGGTATCGGTACGATTACTCGGTCTGGAAACAGTGATTTTGGTGCTTTCATAATATAATGCACAGGCCAACCGCATAAAAAAACATACCCACATGAATGCTCTCAATGAAAACCTTGATATACCTAAATTCTCCATGTATGATATTGCTCTTCAAATTTGATTAATCTTTGGCATATCTTGAAGTGTTTGGTGATGTTAACTGCTCTTTGCATTTCCAGGGATGAAGCTGCATGCTTTGCAATTCAAAAAGGGCTGCAGGCATCAAGAAGTAGCATCAAATACTTTAAACACAATGATATGAATGACTTGGAGAGATTGTTAAAGGAACAGGAAGTGGAAGACCAAAAGGTACATTATTATTGGGAAGTATTACTGTAAATACATGCAGGATATTGTGGTTCACTATTCTGTTTTTAAAGCTTATATTTGTACATTTTGTTGAAAGCTTCTTGCTGGCAAGTTTTGTCAGTAGGTATAAAACCCCTAATTTGCAAATTCATGGCTTAGCCATAAAAAACAAATGATTAAAATGATTTTTAAAGTAGTGTTGCAAAGACATGGAAGGAAATGTATCAATACTGGTTGTCATGCTCCAGATTATGTCTGCTCCAATCAGCTTTTAGCTTTCATTTTCAAAGTTTTCCTGAACAAACCGAAGATTGAAGCTGATTGGTTGGTTACTATGGGCAACTACTGCAGATTCTAATAAACTGCTGTCCATAGGGGTTGGTTCATAATATATATTTTTATTGAACAGATATTTTATGTTATTTTTAACCTTGGGCCCCTTTCAGATGGGTGGTCCCATCAGGTCCTCCTGTCAGTTTTTCAGGCAAATCTGTTCAGAAGCCTGATGTTGCTCTCTGTGCAGCCGGATCACAATGGAAGTGCATTTCAGCAGACCTGATCATGATGGATTGGGGGTTATCTGTGTCCGTTTACATCCTATGCTCCATAGACCTAACGTGGGTCTGGTAAGGTCATTTGGGTGGACACAAATATCACATGGATCTCCTGCGGATCAGAACTGATAGACACCTGTGTGAAAGGGACAATTGTGAACACAATCCAACATTGTTTAGAGCGCTATTCTTGTGTCCACTATCATTTGAAAAGAAAAAAATGTAAGAAATGGAGTCTCACAAATAGGTAAATGTACTTTTGGGTAGGTTTGTTGATTCAATTTCTTGTTTATCTGATAGCAAGTAAAGATGCACATGTCTGGGTGCAAAGCAGACACACTGTAATCACACGTTTTTTGTTTTTTGTTCAAAATCTTTTGGTTGTCTGAATGAAGACAATCGCATCACTTATGTTGACACTAAAGGGAAGTGGGCTGCTTTGCTGAAACAGCCCAATCTTTCTCTTCAGGCAAAGCTAGAAGACAAATATTAGGTAGACTGTATAAATTGTGTCGGAAAATGTCATTTTATAATGCTCTGAGGGGAATTTATCAAAACTGGAGCAGCTGCGCGTGGCAACCAATCAGCTTTTCTTTTTTTTTTTTTTTTCATTTTCAAATCTTAACTGAACAAACCTGAAGAGAGAAACTGATTGGTTGCCATGGGCAACTGCTCCAGATTTTGTCTGCTCCAGTTTTTTTTAAAAATCCTCCCTCCTGTGTTTCCAGAATATGGTCATATTGATTTTTTTGCATCAGAGAGCTGTCTGCACATACATACAGCTAAATTTATTTGTAATCTCTTTGAGGGGAATTTTATCAAAATCTGGAGCAGTTACCCAGGGCAACCAATCCGCTTCTCTCTTCAGTTTGTTCAGTTAAGATTTGAAAAAGAAAGAGAGAAGCTGATTGGTTGCCATGCACAGCTTGGTTTTTTTGCCATGCACAGCTTGATTTTTGTCTGCTCCAGTTTGGATAAATTCCCCTCCTTTTTTTTATTGTATTGGCCCAGTGTAGATTTAAGATGAGTGTATTTTTCTGGCTCTGTACATTTGCTGTGCCAGTAAAGCCTAACTTTAAAAATATTTTCACTTTTTCTCTACTTTTTGTTCTCTACATGATCAACTTATTACGTTGCATTTTTACTAGCAATTGTATTTACTACTACTATGACCTTTTGAAATCAGTTTCTAGGGTAAGTGTGGGTTCCCAAACGCAGTAGACTTTGTATTGGCGAGTTTGTTGACATAGGAAATAATTTTGAAGCAATCTGTATGTTCATAGTTGTTCCACCGGGAAAAATGATCTTTTATGGAAACCTTTTATATTAAACACGCTTTTACTGATGTCAGTTTATAGCAAGACTTTCAGCTAAATCATGTATCCATGTAAATTTCACTTGCGGCAGTATATGATAATTATTTGACTACTTTACAACACTAGAAAAATGAGACCCAGTAACCTCAACTGGCCAATAAAAGTAGAAGTAATAATAACTTCTTTGGATACAAGGTCAGTCTCTTTTTAATGTGGTGTAACAAATTGCATACAAATGGAACATGAGGATTTAATGTACATGACTCCAGTTAAGAAGTAAATTATCCCACTTGGTATAGAGCTTGTGACTCTAAAACACAGAGCTGAAAAAGGAATAATGATATTCTAGAGAAAACTGTTATCTGCTTTGTTTTCTCTCCTTTGCAGCAAGAAGAGAAACCAAAGTGGTGATAGCCTACTGGCCCACACTGAAAGGGATCACACACATGTTGTAAAGTTTACGGGTAACAGATTTGAGTAATTACTGGCATTCCTGTATATGGGCCAGTGCCCAGGAGAGCGATGTTTAGAGGGAAAAGAACTTTGACAAAGTACATATAACAAACAAACTGATTTATTGGCATTTCAGCTTGGGCGCACTCTCTCTCGTTCCCTTTTTCTCTGTGTTGCTCTTTCTATCTCATTTTTTTGGCTTTTGCACGCTGGTTTTGGAGACCTCTGTGCCAAGAACATGGTGTTGCATGATAAATAGCCACACTGATGTATATCATTAGGAAAGCTTCACGTTGTTTGTGGCTGACAAAAATGTACAAGACCCAACATGGGAATAGTAAACCGTGAAACAGGAAAAATGTGCGACAGATTAGAAAATAAACATTGTAAGAATGGCCAAGATGGAGAAGCGTGTGTCTCCTCTCTTCAGAGCATCAGGCTCTGGATTGAATAGAATATTGTCATGCTTGTCTCGTTTTTATTGTGGTATTTTGCGGTGTTCTGTTCAGTCCTTAATTGTTTGTTTGTTCATCAGAATCCACGCAAGGCCAGGGTGACGAGAAGATTTATTGTTGCTGAAGGACTATATATGAACACGGGTGACATATGCCCTCTTCCGCAACTGGTATGTGAGTTCTATGACCAGTTTACAGACTTTGACATGTAATGTCTATCCAATTTTTTATTGTGTGTATCTATCCTATCTATCCTATCTATCCTATCTATCTATCTATCTATCTATCTATCTATCTATCTATCTATCTGGCGCTGTAAGTGGGGAGCAAGGTGGTGGGAATGGGGTTGGAGCTGTGAGTGATGGTAGGAGGGGAGAGCTAGGAACAAAGGTTGGAGGGAGGTACTGTGACCACTGGCAGAACTACCAGGGTCGCAGTTGTGATCGGGCCCTGGCGTTCCACTTGCTGGCGGGTGACCAGAGAGGAAGAAGAGGGCCCGCAGCTCCCTCTTGCAGCCCCCGCCCCAAGTTTCTAGTTACGCTTCTGGCAGTGACCATGTGGCAAGGTGGCTGGCAAGACTTTTGGGAAGTGTGTGCTGTACAAAGTAGCTAAGAGCTGGGTTGTAGTGTTGCAGGGCAACCAGGGTGAAGGTGCAGAGGTGCAGTTTAGGAGCCAGGAGTAGTGTGAAGAGAAGGCCAGATGGAAGGCAAGCTGTGCACAAGGGTGGTGTATTTAGGTGTTTGCCTGCAGTTTTGCTTTAAATAACGTGACAAAACCAGTTACATGTAAGTTCTGAAATTATAAGGTAAGGTAAAGCATCATATTAGTAGTGTATACAGTAATGATCTTTGTTACCATCTGTTCATGTTCTGCTGTTCTTGGAAGGCAATTAGTTATTTTCATCTATTTTTTTAAATCCCTTAAGAACAAAGGAAACAGTCTTACATTAGGTACCCAATATAAGTTGGATTTATGTAATAGACGTAAGGCATGTGTGGTACATTTTTTTTTTTACCCACTTTTGCTGTGTAGGCTGTGGCTGTTCTAGAGTACAAACCTCTTTTTTAATAAACTGTAATATAAACCAGCACATGTACGTTATGGTGGTAGCTTAGCTCTATCCTATAATTCCCATATTCTCTTGTTGAGGAATTTCTGCCTCTCAGTTCTCCTGAAATGTTGGCTTTTAATGTCTGTAAATTGCAGGTTGAGTTGAAGTACAAATACAAAGTAAGAATATTCCTGGAGGAAAGTCTCTCCTTTGGAGTACTAGGAGAACATGGACGGGGAGTGACTGAACATTTTGGCATTAAAGTAAGTGTGTTGTGGAGAAGAAGTTTGCGTCGGTTTTAGTCTTGAATATTGACATGGAAGCATAGCTGGCAGCTTTTAGGGCCTGTGTCGACAAGCTTTAGGTCTGTCCTCATGACATTAGTTTGAGATGCTCTTGAGATCATTCAGAATTCATAGACAGATGCAGTTCACCTGCAATTGACCTGATTTTAAATGTATTTTGCCTTTCCAGAGACTGGTATGGTAATGCAAAACCCATTTTTTAAGTGAACAAAACCCTCTTGACAAGAAATTATTTGCCTATTGCTTTCTGTAGATGTTTGCATTGCTTAATCCTTTTGGTTTACCGTTTTGCTAGTTTAAAGTGACATTGAAGGATTTTTTTCCCCTCCTCCAATGTTACTGAAAGCACTTACCTTTTAAATGATGTCTCTCAATCCGATCTTCTTTCCTGTCATTTTCATCTGTCCCTCCAGCGCTGCTGCGGGTCTCCGATCCAGCACTGACTCCTCTGTCCTTGCTGGCACTTCCTGTCCCACGGTGTCTGCTTGCGGGTGTGCACTGTCCATTGACTTGCCTTGTGTCTCTCCTCGTCTCCCGGCCGAAAATCTGAACTGCGCATGTGCCCGCCCCAAGATCCTTTGGGGCTGCCCGCAATTTTTCAGATTTTAGGACGGGAGCTCAAGGGGAAGACACAGGTAAGTTTAAACCTCCTTTTTTTTTTTTAAAAGCGGTGTTTTTGTGTTTTTAAAAGTTTTTGCATGTATCTACTACTTGCTAGCAGTAGATATATGCAAAAAAGGAGGGTTTAATAACCCTTTTAAAGGAGAACTATGAGGTGAGTGTTTTTAACTCATCCTCCTGGCTAGAGCCAAACTGTGACAAAGAAGCTGTCACAGGTCGGCGTTGTTGATCGGGAAGTGAGCAGAAACATGCAGTGATCCGCTCACTTCCCGATCGTCTCCCTGCAGTGAGCGGTGACTGTCAGTCACCGCTCACTGCAGGGATTCCCCCCTCCCCTCTCCGATCCTCTAGTGCTGAGTGGAGGAATGGATGGGGAGGGGGCGGGCACAGCTGGCTCTGCCTCTAGATGGGCAGAGCCAGCTGTCACTCGCGCAGCTGGGTAGATCTCGACAGTATTGTCGGGATCCGTCCAGACTGCAGCGCTGTCAGTATATTGTGTATCACTCGGCTGTAGATCCTCAACTCATCTCTGAATTGGTGCTGACACTGTCCTTCCTTCTGGAGGGTGGCTACTTTTCTTCCCCATGGTCCCTGTGTGTGTTGTAAAGTAGCCACCGCTGCAAGCTCCCTCCTGTGATGGACTACAATCTCATGTTTATTTTGTGTGGTCAGTGAGATTGTAGTCTATCATGAGAGGGAGCTTGGAGCGATGGCTACTTTACTTATTAGTTGCTTAGGGTACTTGAATGCATTTTTAAGTTTTAACTCCTCAGTTTGGTGTCACTTTAAAAAATATATATATTTTTTGACTTTTTAAAACCATTATTGAAAAAGTGCTTCTAATTGAGAATTTTGCAGTTATAATAAATGGATATTATGAGAATGTAATATTTGTTCACATACCTGGTAGCTAAGTCTATGTCGCAAGCAACGCAGAGTACATAGCAGGCCAAAGCTACTGGCTTTTGGTAAGCTATATTTTGGAAACTTGCCGGAGGCCTTTGTAATCTAAGGACCATATACCATTCTCAGGCTTCATTAACTTCTATTGTTAAATATTCTGAATCCAGTTAAAAGTTAAACCTAAAGCATAGTTCATGTTTCAGCAACATATATGCATATGTACACTCTCATTAACATTTTTGCATGTCTTTCCTGCATTCACTGCAGCAGTGAGGCCTGTTACTGCAAACAAACAGCAGTAGCTAAAGTGACTGCAAATAAACAGAAGTAGCTAAACACAGCTGAATTAATATTTGTATACAAGAAACAATCAAACCGGTAACTGAAAATGAAAATAATGGAATATTAGTCTGTGTTCATGTAAAGCACATGGTGCTTTTGCTGCATTGTAGAAGGGCATCCCATCTCATTCCATCCCAACTTGTGCTAATAAGTTACCATGCATTGTGGTGTGATGCAACACACATATGACAACAAGGTGCATTGGTGTGCCATTAAGAAATACATAATAGCACGAAAGACCACCTAACAGTGTCTCGCATACAATGCTGGAACACATGCATACCCGCATCACAAAGATGTGAACAAGGGCTTAGCTTCTTGGAACATTGCGCAGTTTATGGTTGAATGATAAAAGGTATAAAACAGCGGGCATAATTAATGTAATTTTATTTATTGCAATTTTTGCATGCATGTTCCTCTAGAATAGACATTGAATATGAAAGCAACAATTGCCTTTTAAAATGTGTTCCCAGGCACTAACAAAGTTGAAATATTTCAAATTAAAGAAGGTGACCGCATATTTCTTTCAGCAAAGGAAATTAATATTAATTTTATGGCCATTAAATTACTTTTCAGTCCATTTGTGTTTTCATGAAGAATAGTGTAGACCAATGTATGCCTTGATATGTGCTGGAAAACTGGTTCAGTGCTCTCTGGAACTTTTACACAAAACAGTCATTATTTACCTTCTGAACCCCAGTTATAAATCCTTACTAAGTGTAGGTAAGCGATGGGGTCTCCAGACGGGATTGTTCTATAAATCTGTAATTCAAAGCTGCCACCATTGATCCCTAGCCAATTAAAACTGATTTATAGAGTTATTATTTGCAGTAGAAAGCTTCCGGTCCAATGGCATTGTCACAAATCTCCTTTTCAGCAAACTGCTGCTGGGTCTGTGTTTTTTTTTTTTGTTTTTTTTTTGTAGAAAGTGATTTCATAGATCCACTGTACAAACGTAAGCTGCTTCTGAGTATTTTGTTTTCAGTGTATCGTACTTAAATTAACTAATGGGGGAAAAATATTTTCTAAAATTAATCTAATTAGGGATGCACCGATACCAAGTAGCATACTCGGTACAAGTACAGATACTTTTCCAGCTTCAAGACAAGACTAGAGGAAAAATTCACAAGTTAGGAGGCAGCTGTCATTTGTAAGAAGCACACGGAGCTCCTGGGATTTGTACATCTCTGTTTTTAATGTATGATTTTTGTTTTTATAAATAAAGGAATGCACCGATACCAGTTTTGCGAGTACAAGTACTGATACTTGCCCAAGTACTTACAGACACAAGTACTGATACATTTTTGTTTATAGTCATGTGACAGTTTTTCTAAAATAACACAGACTAATGATTTCAGGACAGTGGTGGAGCGCCCGGTCCCAACTACAACCGCTGCAACCCTGGTAGTTCTCATGAAAATGCCAAGTATCTGCACTGGTACTCGAAAAGTAATGATTTACCTTTTTCCTATTCGTTATCTGGCAGTCCACTGTAATAAAATGCAGATAACTTCTTCTATCCCGTCCAGAATAAAAAAGAAAATCATAAGATTCACTGTCCTGGCTTACATCCCCCATGTAACCAACACAGATTGTTAATCTGCTGTTTTACTTTTGTTTGCAAAACACTGAACACCATTTTATCCGAAATGGCTGGCATGTGATGCTCACTTTTAGTTGCAGTAGTGCTGTGGGTGAAATTGTCATTTTGTTTTTGGTCTCCGCTAAGAAATGTAACAGAAAATGGACTTATAATGAAATGGTACCACAAGTGATCCCTCCTACTGTTAATGTTAAGGTACAGACATTGGGGAAAGCAAAGCTTAGCCAATTAATGTCCCTGCCTGAAACCTGACTCTCCCTTTCAGCAGACATTACCTGACTAATAGTCCTGGCGTTTGTTAATATGACCTATATCTGAGAGTTCAGAATACCTTTTATAGAAATTAAGTAGTAAAGATCTGTTTTTATTTTGTATTATTCATTTTTTCAGATTGATGACATCGATTTGATCAGTGCAAACATGGAGAATGCTTTGGCTTCTATCGGAGGTTTTTGCTGTGGCCGATCATTTGTTATTGATCACCAGGTTTGTGTAAATTTATAGTTTTAATTACAAAAACTAGGAACCATCACACAAATAGAGACACCACCCATGAATATGCAATATATATCAACAAAAGAGAAAGAAAGGGGCTTTCTGGTGACCTCTAGAAAATACCGGGGAATTGGTCCAGAAATAAGGTCAGTTGATTCATAAATATAATAAAAATTCATTTTTAATACAATCAATTCATAATGTCAATACATATAGATATATATTAAAATTCATCCAGATAAAAATCATAAATAGATGTATGCAACATAAATAACCTCACTGGAACCCACACAGAAATCATGATTATAAATTCATATATTGGTCATTCCTCTCATTGTATTCCTGTCTGGATATATACCCGATTGCTGATTCTCCTCGCATACCCCTTAAAGTGCCAGTAAACCAAAACTTATTCATTTAATAGTAAATGCCTGATGAGCATGTCCGTTACTAGCACGTCGCTGTGTTAACATTCTGCAGGCCAGTCTGCACTCCCCAGCTTTGCCACTTCGTTCTATGCACACTCCTGCTTTCTCTCCCGAACAGCCAATGTTTTGACATGTCATCCTCTGTTCACCTCATTGAACACAGTCCCATGTGGCCTCATGAGTTCCATTTTGTTGTGTGCGGCCTAAGACCTGAAAATACAACAGTGATTTTAGCAAGACACTTCACGCTGCATCTTAGCCCTGTCCACATATCAGACCATGCAGTACTGAGGAAAAAGAGACCGATTACTTGAGTAAAAAAAGTATTTCTAATCATTTCAGTGTTGAAATATATGTACAGATTGCTTACTCTTGTTATTCACAATACATAAGGCAAAAGGGGTGTACATGGGTTTATATACAGTACACTTTAAGACTATGAAACTGATTTCAGAAATACACCTGAGGCATATTGTATTTGTTAATACTTTAGATATTTTATAAACTTGACTTCTGCATATAGTATTCACAAACTGTCAGGTTGCTCTCCTGCTTTTCTAGTAGGAGAAAGTTGAATATTCTAGAACAGTGTTTTTGTAAATGTATTGAAGGAGCGCACCATGGATATTTAAGTGGCAGTAAAGGAGACCAAAAACCGGAGTATAATTTAAAAAAAATAATGAACCTTTAAAAAGGAAGTACAAAAATAGAAAAAGTCACCGGCACTCCGAATATTAAGTCAATAAGGATTTATTGACCCAAGTGATAGCCCCTCTAAGCAATGTTTCGGACCATGCGGCCCCTTCCTCAGGCAAACCGATTGTTACTGCTGCACCCGCCCCGCTGCATTGGGTATTCTCCGGAGTGCGATGGGATACATGGACTTTTGTTTAAAAGGAAGTAGTCTGCAAAGTTTTAGTACTTCAAGATGGCTGATTTGTTAGGAGATGTGGGACTAATCCCTATTTAGTTAGCCAAAAAGAAAAAAAGTCTACAGTCCTACACTGGCCAAGAGATTAGAAAAGGAGGGCTCTCCAATGGGAAACCTGCAGTTAGGTTTGGCTATGATTGAATCATTGTGGTGACGCGGCCACCTTACACAAACCCACCCCTGCTAGAGTTGAATTGGGAACCTGATGCAGGACTGTTGGCACAAGCTAAAAGCTGTGATTTTTTTAAAAGAGGAATTTCTACCATGGGGTACATTGAAATAGTCCAAAACAGCATTGCTGCCTGTGTCAATACCTATTCCTGACGTTTCTCTTCTCTTTTAAAATGTGTACCTATTGATTACCATGTATACCTAATGTGGCTAGCTAAAATCCAGAACCCTTTGACATATCTTCATATATCCACTGTATCCTTGATAGTTACTCGGTCAGGTCGAGTTTTTCCCCCTTATACCTTAAAGGAGAACTATGGGGTTAGGGCTTTTCCCCATAGTTCTCTTTAGGGTAACGGGAGGACACAAACTAGCGTCCTCCCATCGCCCTAAGCTCAGTATTATGTCTGGATTATGTACTATGTCTGGATCCGCCCAGCTGCGTGAGTGACAGCTGGCTCTGCCTATCTAGAGGCACAGCCAGCTGTACCCACCCTCAGTCCCTCCCCTGTCACGGCAGAGAGCCGTGAAAGGATCGAAAGTGAGCGAACACCGGTATGTGTTCACTCCCCGATCTACTGAGCCGACCTGTGACAGTTTCATGGTCACAGGTCGGCTAGAACTATGAGGATGAGTGAAAAGCACTCACCTCATAGTTCTCCTTTTAACCCATAATAACAAATACAGAGAGACTGCCTAAACCCATTAGTAGCACCCCCTTGGTTACAGACTGAGACTGCTGGTTTAGTGCCTCTACCCTGGATGGTGGTGCCCAACTACAGGTCTCCTGCTGCCTCTTCAACCTAGAGTATACAAGTCCGACATTTTCTTTCTATGCAATCTTGTTATCCAAGTAGCCAAAAATACAATGTTCTCTGTAATTATTGGTAGATAATAGTATAAACACTTTATAAGGCATTATGTATATAGCATATTCTTCAATATTAATACTTCTGCTGTAAAAAGGACTGGTTAGCACCTTAAACATCCACTTTGTGAATTTGTCAAACTTCATTTTACAGAGACTTTCTGGACAAGGCTACTGCTTCTCAGCCTCTCTGCCTCCGTTATTGGCTTCAGCTGCCATTGAAGGTCTTAACATTATGGAGGAAAACTCGGGTAACCTTTTTACTTTCCTAAAAAAATTCATTTTGAATCAGTGCATGACAGCAGCAAATACCTGAAACATTTAATAGTTTACAGGTTGTTTCAATTTTTTGACCTGGGTGGTACACCAAAAATTATATCTAAACAAGATTTATCAGAAAAGAAACATGGCGGACGCTGATGCAGACCACTGCTGAAAATTCAGGTTGCTTTGCTATCCTGCTGATACTCTGATTTTCAGTTCAGATTCGGGACAAGTATGCAGATCAGGAATTCTAATTTCATTGGCTGCAATACATGGTCAGTAAGTCTGAAAATAATGAAGGCAGAACATCAGCCTGCCAGCCAGACAACCAGCATTTTCATGTCAGAGAACTCTGTTTGTATGTTGTAACTCTATGAAAAGGCTATGGGGGGGATTTATCAAAACTGGAGCAGACAAAATGTGGAGCAGATTTGCACTGCAGCCAATCAGCTTCTCTTTTTCAAATCTTACCTGAGCAAACTGAAGAGGTGCTGATTGGTTGCCCTGGGCAACTGCTCCAGATTCAGTTTGCTCCAGTTCTGACAAATTCCCCCCTATGTATTTTTCTCATATTAGAATAAATTAAAGGAACCTTACGCTAGCCACATTTTTTTAATTCACACATGCTTCTGTCTTTTTTCATTTAATGAAATAAAAAGGAAATTGTGGTTGCTTAATCCTATATGACTGAAATGTAATTGTCGATATTTTATTTGGAGCAACAGTTTTATAAGCATCACACTTAAAACGAAAAGAAAAACCTTTTAATACACTATGTAGTTTAAAACCTGATTAGAAAAATTTAGAATTTTCGCCGCAAATCTTCAGAAAATGTAATTCTGCTGCTTTTGCAAGGTAGTAGAATTTGCAAAAAGCAAAGTATTACTCGCCACAGTACCTGTGATATTTCAATAAAAATGCTGCATGGAGTGTGTTTACAGATTTCTATGTGGAAGCATGAGTAGGCAAGACGGACATGGTGGGACATAGCCGCTTGTTATCATTGCATAATCTCTTTTAGTTTTGGTAAAATTAATTATTAAATGACTTTGATGGAAAATTGCAGCAATGCTAATAATATTGCACTCTATACCTTTTTGTATGTGCAGTGCAGCTGAGTGTTGTGCTATGTTGGCAATTGATTAATGCAGAAAGTGTATCGTTTATGCCCTTTATTGGTTAAATAAAGTGACACTAAACTCAGGAGTTAAATCTTGAAACTGCATTCAAGTACCTTTTAACTATTACACAAGTAAGATACATTTCTGTTATCACTCAGCTATAGATCATCAAATCATCTCTGAATTGGTGCTGACACTGTCCTTCTGGAGGGGGGCTACTTTTGTTCCCCATGTGTGTTGTAAAGTAGTCACCCCTCCCAAGTTCGCTCCCATGATGGACTACAATCTCATGTTTAGGTTGCTAATTTGTATTGAGATTGTAGTCCATCAGAGGCGTAAGTTTGGAGTGGTGGCTACTTTACAACACACACAGGGACCATAGGGAACAAAAGTAGCCCCCCTCCAGAAGGTAGGACAATGTCCGTATGATACAAGAGATGATTGGAGGATCTACAACCGAGTGATACACAAATAAGATCCGTTTCTGTTAATCGTTGAGGTAGTTGAATGCATTTTTAAGATTTAACTCTTGTTTAGTGTCACTTTAACGAATATGCAAACCCTAACCATCAACTTCTCTTATTTGCTCCCTTTTGGTCTGTTTAATATACAATTGAAAATGTTTTTTTTTAGATCTATTCAATAGGTGTAAAAATACCTATTGATCCTGCTAGAAATCTAGTGCTGTCCTGTGCACTCTGCAGTGTTATCTCAAGCAGTGTTTTTAACCTGCCCAGTGTGAATTGGAGAGCATCTTCCTTCCTCCTATGTTATGTAGAGGAGGACAGGGGGAGTTGTTCCTCTGTCCTTGGGTGATAACACTGCTCCTCCATAGATACAGTGTGTTGTCACCCTAGGAGAGGGAGTGTTTTACAGGCAGGATCGCCAGATGAGAAAAAGAAAAAGCCTAAAAAACACAATCATCTAAAGTTGGGTAGGCTGCAATATTTCATTTTTGTTTTTGGGTTTAGGTATACTTAAATACTTTTACATTTTAAAGCTGCAAACTTTGTGAATGCATACGAACGGAGATGTGTTTTGTTCTGTATGTTTGTTTTTTTATTATGTTGGTGCTGTTACCAGTGCATTTTTAAAACTGCTTGCATTCCATCACATCACTGGTTTGTTTTTTCAACAGAAATCTTCCATACTCTGAGAGAAAAGTGCAAGCATATCCACAAAGCATTGCAAGGGTGAGTATACACTGCTGAATTCTGCATATAAATGTATGCATGTTGCATGGAATAATATTGAAGGCTGGCTGAAAGTCTGCTTGTAGCAATCAAGCATTTAAGTTTTGATTGTTTTACAGTTTTGTTGAAGCATTTGTAGGGTTTTCTCTATAACAACTTTTACATATTCATTATATAGGAATGGCTTAATTGAAACTCAGTGTTGCCATCCATTTCAGCTGTAGGGTTATCGGGTAGATCTGAAGTGTATTCATTACCACCATGCCTCTGGCCCTTTCCTTTGACAAACCAGACATTAAGCCCATCCTTTTTCTATCACTCCTCCATTTTCTGCCTGCGTTAAAGCCAAAGATCAGCGGAAATTAATGGCACTAGGCAGAGTACATCTGGTATAAAGAGCAATCAATGCAAAGGGCAAGTGCTCCTACATGTATTTATTACCTCATCTGTGTTTTAGGTGGAGTTCTCTTTTTAAATCAGTGCTAGTAATCAGATGTCTTCATATAATTTTCAAAAACTGTCGTGTACAATTTAAGTAACTAAACAAAGTCTCATATTTTTCATGAGCATTCGCTGCCTAACATTAAAAAAATATTTATTTTATGTGTGTGTGTGTGTGTGTTTCCGCCGACAGTGGCCACCTTATTCCAAAATATTGTTGAAAACTGTCCCAGGTGCGCTCAAGGAAATGGGATACAAAGGGTCCATAGGAAGAGGCACTCACAGGTCTTATAATGAAGCAACATAGATTAATTTACTGGTCCAACTTTCGACAAGGCACTGCTGGTCTTTCTCTAAAGTGTCTCTTCCACTGGACCATTACATACACACACACATATATAGTTTCATAATCAATTAGTTATATTAAAAAAACCTCTCAAATATATTTAACAACTATTCTCATAACCGATTATTATCGATTTTAATGTATGTATATATATAGATATATATATACACACATACACACACACTATAATATAATTAGTTAAAGGTTTGCTTGCACGTGGTAGAAGTATGCAGGAAAGTGTGACATAGATTATGAAACAAGAAAGCAAGTTCTGACCTCCTGTCCCGTTTTTAAGCACGCTTCCTTTTCATATTTTTACACCTTCTGCTGTCTATGACTAACAGCAGCAAGATCTGAGATTGCAGGCACGTGATTGTCGCATATCCTTTTGAACTAAAAGTAAGATCATCTGTGTAAGTGGTTCTCTCATTGAGATTGTTTTTACGCCAACCCTAAGGCAACTGCAATCTTCACAAGAAATGTGGCAGATGTCTCCAATCCCCTGTGACCCACCAAAAACCTCCAGCAATTCTCTCCTGGCTGTCTGTAATTTCTCCTTGAGCTTCATTAAATGACACAGGATCGCCTGGAGGTAGTGGGAAACTTAACACTACTTATGGCAATAATGGTACAGCGGCATTATCCTCTTATTTAAGGCTGCTGGTGAGGTCACTGTTCAGTCATCATCACATTCCTTCTGACCTTGTATAGTATTCTCTAATCATCACAATCTTGGACACTCTAGGGAGTACGGGCGCTCTGAAAGTTACATATGTTAACAGCTTGAAACAAGCATAATACAACCCAGCAAGTCATTGTCAGAGTTTGAGCTACAAAATAATGCAATAAAAATGAATATGAAACATAATGCTTAATTGAAGGAAAGGCCCTACCTTCTTTAAATATATACATACTGTTTATGTTGTGTGCTTACTAACAGATTTTACTGGATGCAACACAGTGACTGGGTAAAAAATTAATAAACAGAGGCATTTAAAAGGGACAGACACCCATCACTTTGCTGCATATTTCTGGGCTTTGAGAGGTTTGCAGCTGGTAAACAGAGTGATTGTTACACAATTAACAGTACAGAGAGGCAAGTAAAGAGAAGCTGTTTACAATGGAAGGAGCTTTCCATTGTCTGAACTGACAGTAACAGGAAGTTGTCACCACTGCTCCCTTCACTTCTTCTGATGTGCGCAGTTTATATTGAAACACAACTGTCAAAATAAAGTAGCGCTTTGTAATTCTTAAATTTAGCAATGGGTTTGACTTTTTTTTTTTTTTCCTATTAAATAAGAAAACTTTGGGCCCTGGTTCTCATTTGTGATTTTTGGACCAAGAAAGCCCCCTGGTTCTGTCTCTGTTTATAGATATAGGGACTCTACAGTAAATCCCCTCTACTTGTGTTCCTTTTTTATAATGATCTCCAGCAGTTTTGTTTTAGATAACAATGGCATTGCTATCCTGTTACTTGATTGCATTGTTCTGAACTTTTAGATATAATGGTTCTTAATGACCTATTAGTTTGTACGGGAGTTACTAGGTTATAGGTGGCACTGGTGGATGGGGGGACCTGAATTAATATGCAGATAGGGGCTTTTTAAATTCTACAGAAGGCTCCAGTACATATAAATGCCTTATTGCGTTCATGAACACAAATCCAACAATCTGCTTTGGCATACCTTTTTAGAAGATGCCATTTCCTTTATCTTTCTCTCCATAAACCTGAGTATTTTCTGTAAATAATTCTGTATGTGACTATTTGTTCAGCATTCAGGGTCTGAACGTTGTTGGCGACAGCTTCTCCCCCGCATTTCATCTTCGGCTAGAGAAAAGCACTGGTTGCCGGGAAAAAGATGTAAAACTGCTACAAGATATTGTAGATCATGTAAGTGCTGTAAATGACCATTGATTTATACTCTGACTGATTGTAAACTCCCTCATGTGCACAAAGACAAAGTATTATAATAACTGACACTAATCATTGCCAGATCCAGCAGACTTTTCCTTGACCCTTTCAACCATGTCCTTTTGAGACTAGTGTTGTGATTTTACACAGAAATACCCTTGCCATAGGATGATGAAATGTGATCCCTCTCCTGTGACATCGGCTGTAGTTTCTGTGTCATTCTGTGGTTTTCTTTAATAAATGGCTTGGCTAAATCATTGTTGAATCCAGTTAGAAATGAGGACCAGTACATGCCCGCAACCTTGTTTTTAGAGTGAAACTGGGTATAATAAGGATTAATGTGAAAGTGAGTGTTATCATTACCCCCCAAAAGGGGACCAGCCTGCAACTTCAAAGTCTTAGTCTCTCTACACTATATGTCATGTCCATAAAGTATGCAGAGAAACTCCCGATACCCAAGATCTTAGAATGAGATGCTGCTTCTTAAGGCATGTCGCCACCTTTAAAAGATGTGGATTATGGGGTTGGGCCCCTGGAGGTAAGGTTAGAGGGAAGGTATTGTGAGCCAGATACCTTTTCTGATAGAGGCTACCATTGTCTGATTGATTCTCGTTGCAAGGCAGTGAGGTACTGTACATGACCAATCCAATTTAGTTTATTGAAATGGAAGGGGGAGAGAGGAAGGAAGCTCCTATTCTGCAGGGTAATATAGGTATATATTTATGTTTTATCAATGCTTCCTCAAAGTTCATTTGTTGACAAACTAATGGAACTCAGAAGTAGTCAATGGTATTTTTTTCCCAGTTTACAATAATGAAATTAATTATACGACAGAATATAGCAATCTTGAATCATTTTATTTTGGGGAATTTGTTTTCTACTTGCTTTTACTTTCTAAGATGTCAGTGGTTTCTAAGGGTGTTTGTTTGTTTGTTAGTTTCCAATCTCTACAAACACTTCAACAGCGCAGGTGGATGCTGCGCTCATCACTTATCTAGGGGAGGGGGGACAGTAGTCATGAGCTGACGTTTCAGAGATTTATTACACAGCAAATGTGGCATATATGGTATAATACGTTAATTCTAATTCATTTTGTTGTGCAGTGCATGAATAGGAAAATTGCCTTAACCCAAGCTCGTTATTTGGAAAAAGAAGAAAAACATCTTCCACCGCCAAGGTTAGTATTTGTACTTGTAATAGCTGTGTTTTCAACATAAATACATGGAGGGATTGTAATTACTTTACTAGAATGCTACAAAAAAGTATTCAGGAAATGTATGGGAGGGATGTCACATGGGGGTTATCTGATGCTAAATCTGGTACATTTATTAAGATTTGATGATGGAATATGTAGGAGTACACTGACTGATATTCTTACTGAACACATACTTTAACAATCAGAAGTAAAGTATTGATGTTTCTACCCAACATGTTTAAGTAAAAGAAAAGGTTTAGTTTTTTTTTTTTCTGAATTTACCTTTTAATGCTGGCTAATTGTGGTGCAGTTTTAAGTCTTCCATCAATTTTCAACTGCAGGAATCTGTCATCCAGTATCTTGTCTTTCACTGTTATTCAACCAAGCAATCTAGGCCTCTGCGGAATTTGATCAGAACCACAATAGCGCCAGTGGAAAAGCATTTTCAATCAATATCCTCCCCAGTTTTGACTATTTTGTCTATTGAATTTGGAAAACAGTCAGAAATGCAGGTGGCAGATTGTTATGGACCAATCAATTTTATGCATTCATGTTTTCATATAAAAGCTGATGGCAAGCTTTCAAACTATACAAGTCTATGGCCTCCTTACTTTTCTTTAGAGTCCCCTTCAGAGATCCCAACAGCTGTAAGTTTCATACTGTTCTTCGTACCGTGACTTTTGCTGTATGGATAAAACATAAATGACTTTTAGCTCCCTTTTTTTTTTTTCCATCTTTTTTTTAAGCTTGGTAGTCCTTGACAGATTTTAACCAAGCTTAACATTTTCTTTAATCTCAAGTATATAGTAATGGTCCTTTTTATGATGCTAAAGTGAATTCAGCACTGGGGTAGGTTTGATCAACATTCTACCCCCGTTCTGTATGGTCCCCCTTCTCCAGGGGGACCCAGTGGGGGAGGCAGTGTTGATCAGTGGCCTGGTGCAGTCTGTCACACCTTGAACATTGCATGCAATGTTTCAGCCATTGTAATAAGAAGCCACACCAAGCAAAGTCCAAAGTATGTTTCAGCTCAGTAAATGCTTTCTGACAGGTTAAGGGGGTGCTTGTCAGGGGTTAAAGAATGCATTCCTAGCACCTACTTCAAACGTTAGTAAAGAAATAGTCTTTTGATGTCCAAAGTGACTGAACTCGACTGTCAAGCTTTGATGCGGAGTAGTAGTCTGGTGTTTAACACTATGAATTACATACAGCAGTGACACTTCAGTGTTGGCTTTTATTCACAGCTGGGTGTATTGATTAGCTCCAGAGCTGTCTCATCATAAACCTATATTAAAGCATGAATTGGCTATTCTATAAAATCTTTCCGACAGGTAGAATCCTCCGTGAACAACTTTTGAAGGGAATTTATCAAAACTGGAGCAGACAAAATCTGGAGCAGCTGTGCATGGCAACCAATCAGCTGCTGTCTTTTTTTTTTCTTTCAAATCTTAACTGAACAAACTGAAGAGAGAAGCTGATTGGTTGCCGTGCACAGCAGCTCCAGATTTTGTCTGCTTCCGTTTGAGAAATGCCCCCTCCCCCCTTGTGTCTAAAAATCTATTTTATTTAGTCTAAAAACTTAAACTTCTGAAAAGCAGCCTGTCTGTAGGTTGACCATTATACCCCGAATTTACTTGATTGATCACATTTTCTCTGTTTTGGGTGTCTTGCAGCATAAGAGTGATAGTCACTGTGGAGCAAACCGATGAAGAACTGGATTTAGCGGCCTCCGTGATCAAGCAAGCTGCATCTTTAGTACTGAATTAAATTTTTGAAGACATTACATCTCTCATAATTTGAGCTTGTCCTAATGGTGGTAATCTCTTGAACGGTATAAGGAATCGAGACCGAAGATCTTGCGTATCTAATGATGAAATGTTAGCGCAGCGTACATTCCGGGACAAAGGATGGGGGGGGGGATGGGCAGTAATACTGCCGAACAAATATAGCAGAAAACCAAATCATGGTACATGCACTTATGATGTTGTGTGCCTTTTTTTTTTACTGCTGTTACGCTGTGACTTTTCTACTTTTTTAAATAACTGTTTACAGAAATAAAAAGGTGAGTTATTCCCCATCATATGTCTACAAGTGCATGATGGCATCACTTTGGAAGTTTTAATGTTTTCTTTTAAGCTCACAACAATGCCCTTTAGTGTATTAAATTTCAATGGTTTTTATTATTACAAAATGCAAACTTTATATGTCAGCATTTAACGGGTGTGTGAAACTTCAGCTGTGTATTGATATACACATTTTATATCCATTAAGAGATACATAGATGCACTGATTTTCTGGTTGTTTTCTGTTTAACTGCTTCCAAGTAAAACTAAGACTAATTTGAGTTGTTCAGTTTGTTTGTGCATTAAAAATGATAGATTTACATATTTTTTAAAAACTAATGCATTTTGCTACATCATAGTCTTCTTCTATCATCCGTCTTAATATTGCCACTGTACACTCACACTTTTTTTGGTGTAAAACACTGTGAGTTCATTACGCTTGAAAGTAACAATAAGGCGCTGCTATAAACTCCTAGTGAACAATTTCCAATTCCGTCAGCACTAAATATAATGCCTGAGGTTATGGCACAAAGTTATTCTGGGCTTTCCTACCAGTTATCGAAATCAAACAGTGTTTTGTTTTATGGCCCTGAGTAGTATTATCAATATGAAGGAAGTATTTAAGTATAAGGAGCTATGATTATTTAAAATTGAAAGTGTGAAATGATTCATGTTGGTGGACCCAGTAGGGAAAACCTAGAATGGTAGACATGCCACAAATCGTAAAGCATTACTTATTTTTACAAAGGTGTTCTGTTGGATTCTGTGTTCCTTTGCCTCCTGTTAATATTTTTTAAAAAGTGTTCAGTATAAACTACACAGATTGCTGTTTAGGGCTAGTTCACACCAGCCTCAGTGCGTTCCGGCCGATTTTGGTTCTGGAACGCACTTGATCGCATTCCAGCCAGCACAGTTTGTTTTGGGAGGGGGCTTGGCTGTGCGTTGAATTCAACGGCACTGCAGCCACGCCCTCCAGCTGCAGTGCGATCGGCCACACTAGAACGTGTGGCACATCAGTGCCTGCGTTCCGGTGCGGTCAGAAAAAATGCTGCATGGACGATCGCACTGAGGCCGGAGGGCATGGCTGCCAGTGCCATTGACTTTACTGCCATGCCCCCTCCCACCCCAAAACAAAGTGAGCCTGTCGGAATGCGATCCAGTGCTTTCAGGCACCAATCGGCTGGAACGCACTGGGGCTGGTGTGAACTAGCTCTCAATCCAAAAGATGGGCAGTGCTTGATGGCATATTTAAGGGTGCACACTAAATGCAACAGATGGCAGTAGGATATTCCTCTATGGTAATGAGTTCAATGATGCATGTGCGGTACCAAGTTAACTATTTGTGAGCAGTGTTAGAACCCTGCTTGACCAAAATATAGACGTAAAAACACATACCTGAACCTTTGCAGGAGCAGCACTGTACTTTTAGAAATCTCATGAGGAAAACTTTTTTTTTTCTTCTTTCAAGGATTTACCCTTTTAATATTCACATGGATTCTGAGCTACTTCACACAAATAATCTCTTACCTCTATATATTGTCTTTCCCTGTGCTTTAACAGCGATCATCATAGACCCCTAGGTCAATGTAAAAACCGCTTTGTTTACATTCAATCTGTCCTCTGTCTGCACTGTAGAGGAGAGTTGCTTGCATCATACCAGGAACTAAAGAAGGAAGCCATCCGGGATCCCTCTAGTTGTACATTTTGCTTACCACCATTTAGCTGACTGGAATTATATGGGAAGGGAGGGATTAGTTAACCTTACGTGAGGTCTGGCTGCTTCTAGCAGTTTGTAATCTTATTCTTTAGTAATGACCCAAGTACAGTGGAATATAGAACTAAAGTTGGCCATTAATTGTTAGAATTTTGTTGTTTGTTAAACAACATTTTTTCCATCCTGCTCCTTCCATTTCTTTTTGATCTAAATTGATCAGCAATTTCATGCCATTACCTATTAGAAAATCGAAAGAATGTTCTGAAAACATTTTTTTTGTTTGTTCTACCAGTGCATAGCCAGCTTTACTTATGACTTCTGGTACTGAAGACACTGAATCTGGTAATCTCTACACTGTTAAACAGTGCAGACTGCAGAGAGACTGAATGTAAAAAAAGCAATGTTTACATTGGCCTGTACCAGCTATACTGCTCTTGTTGCAAAGGGACAGAGCAGTTTGCATGTATGAGGTTATATCTGTAAAGTGATTTGACCCTGGCTATGTTAAGAGCTTATGTGTGTAAAAAGTACAGTTATCCTTTAAAGGCAAAGTAGTTTGTTTCTTGACCGTGAACACACTCTCAGAGCTACATAACTTGGTATGCCAGAGCTGGTCAAATCAATTTGCCATGAGTGAGCCCATAGAAATCTGTAACTAGGAACGTATTCCCTGTGAAAACCAGTGCAGAATGGTATGTATAAAGTTAGGTATGTGTTTTCCTCTGGTCAGTGCAGAGCTTTAATTACGGGTGTGTATATTATAGAAGGGAAGTACTTCAGTAACATTTAGCTGAGACGTATAAGATGGCCTTCATTACGTTTTGATTTCTGTGATTAACGAAAATTCAAACAAAGCTATTTTGTCATATTACAAATCATGGTAAGGAGCTTTGTCTAAATATGTTACTTCTGACCGTTTTCATTGTCCTTGCCCAGACCTGAAAATGCATGATGGAAGGAACATCAAAGCTTCACCTAGGAGGGCCATTCCCCCCCCCCCCCAAAAAAAAAAAAAAACAAAATTTTCCCCCCCCCCAAAAAAAAAAGAAAAATAGCTTGTAGCAGACTGTATACATCTATTAATACATTTCAGGGGACTAAAGATTTTGGGATATTATCTGTTATAATGGAGTCTGTTGTATCATTATTCTAGAGTCACTGTCTACATTAGACTAAATGTGCAGACTGCAGCATACATTGCCAAACAATACTGCTATATGTTTTTTGTGATCTTGCTGGACTATTACTCCAGTCCACGGAGTTGTAGCCAAAGCTTTACAGCAACCGTGCACAATGTGTGTGCTGTAGTTTGCCATTTTATTGAAGGACAGTCTAGAGAGCCTCTTTAACACTGAGTCTTTGGCCCCATAATGTGTAACTATCAGTTGAAATATGTTTTGTTGTGTAGACTATTGTTAACTCAGATATATTAGGAGGTCCTCCATAAACATCTGATTCTTAAATAAACTGTTAGGGGGCCTAATCAGTCCTAATAAGGGCTTTATTTGTGCAGTATATTGACAGCTGAGCCACTTTGACACACAGTTACCAACATATTATTGTTTCAAACCATGTTTTAGATTTCCTGACCCTTTAATGATAAGAGTAAGAAATGGGATGCTGTGTTTTCTTGGACACATTGACCTGTTTTGTTTGTTAATTTTATTTAATTTAGTGATTTATGAACATTCCTTTTGTTTATAACCAAATATTGTATAACAAAGAAAGTTTATACCTATATAGTCCCGCTCCAGCCAACCTTTTGCTTTTTGGATTATGTAGGGTTTACAACAAGTCAGATTTGTATAATTGTCTCTATCGCTGTTTGTGAAACCTCTCCTCACTTTGCCCTATCACCCTCTCTAAGACACAAATGTCAATAAAACCAAATAAATTTTTTTTTTTGCTGCCTGTATTCCTACTGGGGAGATCCTTTGCATTCTGATACACCCCTGCATCATTCCCCTTACATCGTGATATGCTGTATTACTGGGACAGGAAGTGAGGGGTATTTCTTCAATGGGGACACACAGATAGACCGCAATAACAACACAACAGAGGTACTACACTTTACTTGATCCAAAACGAAAAATATTGGCTGGACATGAGTTAAAATAACCAAAATGGCACCTGATCGAAAATGATTAAAATTTGTGGTATCACAACACAAACCACCAAAATAATGTTTGTTTTGTACTGTACATAAATTTGATTTTTTTTTTTTTTTTAATCATGTGCCTTTTTTTTTTTTTTGTTGCTGCTAAAAACTAGCTATAAATGGGACAGACTTTTGTTAAAATAAAGCAGTCACAAATAAATTGTGCCTTTTTTATCTTTACTTTAATAACCTCAAATAACCACTTTGCTACAGTTTTTTATTGAAAATATTCAGCCAGTTGTCTCAAGTTTATCTTCAGATTTACATGTGTTCATAGACGTTTGTGGGCTGTTGGAGAGAGCAGGGTATAAAGTGTGTGTGTGTGTGTGTGTGTGTGTGTGTTTTAAATATGCCCATCAGTTCTTTGAATCTATTACTCATCAGTTTTTTGTGAATCTGCTCCTATTATTTAGCATCCATGGGTTTGATGTCTCACCATATGCTATAAAACAGGGGTGCCCATTAGGTCGATCGCAATCGACCAGTTGGTCGATCGTGATCAGCTGTGTCCTGTCCTCCCGCGGTGCTTGTGCAGCTGCCGGCTGAATGTGTCAGAAGCCGCAGACGGGTAGTGGCGGGACACCTCTCCCCGTGTGCAACTTCGGCCACCCGAACACCGGCACACGAGAGGAGACCTAGGAACCTGCTGCAGTGGAGGTAAGGAAAGAGAGGGGAGAGATGGCAGATAGAAACAGGGGAGAGTGAGAAGACGGCCAAGAGAGAGGGGCCGGTTCACACCACAAAGTCTGCGTTCCGGAGTGTTGGGCCTCTAGAAGGCACTGGAACGCAAGCCGGACGGCTCCCTGTGTTGGGTCGTATTAAAGTCAATGCCACTGCAGAAATAGTGCTTGCAGCATTTTTGCAGATTGCATTGTGCGGGTGATCGCACTGCGGGCCCCTGAATGGAATGCAGGTTTTTTTTTGTTGGTAGAGCGCACTGAGCTCGTCATTTCAAAAGTAGATCTCCAAAAATTGTGGGTGCCCCTGCTATAAAAGGTTTCAAATGTTTTATTTGCATTTTTTTTAGATTTATATTGTTTAAAGTGGATTTTCAGCCATTCCCCCGCCTCCTTGTATTTTTTTACAATTTTATTTAAAGAAAATAAAACCTATACAAACTTTTTTTTTTTTTTTTTTCCTGCTGCCTTCTAGCTGGTCTAGTGACACCCATGGCCACTTCCTCTTATACTGTGAGTTGGAGGAAAGGGGATTGTTAATGACAGGCTGAGCTCACAGGAATTGAGCAGAATGGCATGATCGGTGCTAGAAGGAGGAGATAACTGGGCGAGACGGTGCTGGAACATAGAGGGGGTGGGTAAAACTTGGGTACAGAATTATAGAGATTTGTTATTATTATAAAATAGTCTTTCAATCATCTTCTGATCAGACAGAACATTATGACCACTGGTCAAGTGACAGGTTAAGTGTATAACTGATTATCCCACCTGAAATTGGGTGGGATATATTAAGGTGCCCATACA